AGATTGTGGAGGATGAACAGGGAACCTTCAGTGGCCTGCTGTTAATAAGACCATTTTTCTGAGCATTTTGAGGATGCTTAATTCCATCTTAATTCCAGATGGGGGACTTAATTCCAGAACTATTAATGTGAAAGTTTCTGACTGGAATATCAAGACAAATGGATTCAGATTTCTGAAGTCATTGTCTCCACCTAATACAGGCTGTCCACCAGGAAAGACATTGATGAGAAACTCAACCTCTACAACAATTTAGGGTTTATTGAAAATTAAAATTGTATCATCTAAATATTGTCATTTTGGGATTTTTTTTGCTTAAATTTCTTTATCTCTGGGGAAATGGATTTCTTCATCCTGAATGCCTCATCCTATTCAACAAGATTTAAGCAGTAATCAAAATCTTTCCACAAATAAAATCCCAGGACTAGATTGCTTCACTGGTGAATTCTACTGAATGTTTAAAGAATTAACGCCAATCTTTTACAAAATTGTTTAAAAAAAGAGGAGCAGGGACCACTTCCCAATTCATTCAATGAGGCCAGTATGACCCTGATGCCAAAACCAGACAAAGATAATACAAGAAAAGAAAACTAAATACCAATATCCCTTATGAATATAGATGCAAAAATCCTCACCAAAATATTAGCAAACTGACTCCAGCAACATATAAAAAGGATTATACCATGGTCAAAATACACCATGACCAAGTGGGATTTGTCCCAGAAATGTAAGCTTGGTTGAACATATGAAGGTCAAACAATGCAATACACCAAATTAACAGAAAAGGACAAAACCATGCAACCATCTCAATAAATGCAGGGGGGGAAACACTTTATAAAATTCAACATCTTTTCATGATAAAAATACTCAACAAACTAAAAATAACAGGATATGTACTCAACCTGATAAAGGGTAACTATAAAAACCCACAGCTAACTTCATATTGAAGGGTAAAAACTGAAACCTGTCCCCCTAAGATCAGGTACCAAACAAGGATACCCCCCCTCTCACTGCTTCTATTTAACATTGTACTGTAAGTTCTAGCCAGGGCAATAAAAAGAAATAAAATAATTCAGATTGAAAATGAAGAAGTAAAAATATGTTTACAGATGGCATGATCATACATGAAGAAAATCCTAAAGAATCCACAAAAAACTACGAAATTGAATAAATGAGTTCAGCAAGGTTGGAGGATACAAGATCAATATACAAAAATCAATTTTATTTTTATATTAACATTGGACAACCTACAAATGAAATGAAGAAAACAATTTCACTAATATAGCATGAAAAAGAATAAAATACTTAGGAATAAATTTACCAAAATAAGTGGAAGACTTCTATACTTAACACTACAAGCCATCATTAAAAGGCGTCAAAGAAGACATAAGTAAATGGAAAGTGTTCAGATTGGGAGACTTAATGTTGTTAAGATGGTGATACCCTCCAAGTTGGTCTAGATCTGATGCAATCTCTATCAAATTCCAGCCTAATTCTTTGCAGAAAGTGGTAAATTGACCCTAAAATTAATATGTAATGCAGTGGAACCAGAATAGCCAAAACAATCTTGAAAAAAGAGAACAAAAAGGTGGAGAACTCAAACTTCCTGATTTTAAAGATGTGTTATGAGTTAGATATTAGATATTTGAATAATTTAATATATTAAACATATAAATACTATTTATTTAGAATGTACTACAAGGAATTATTAGAAATTGTCTTAGATCCCATCACAAATTTCTCAAGCTAAACTCCCTAATTATTCAAATATCTCCTTTCTAAATTTAAATTTCAATGAATGTGATTTTTTTAAAAAACATCAGTTTAGTTTGAAAGGTTAGCTGATTCTAAATTTTAGTTTCCTTTCACCAGTGAGCAGTATTGTTTGCTTTACAATGACTTCATTCAAATGACCAACTGATGTATCTAATTTATTTACTAGTAGAAAATTCCAAAAGATAAGAATTTCTAACAAAATCCACAAACCATTGATATTAACTATTGTCCGCTTCATACTTTGAAATAATACTATTTGAAGTATGATTTAAAGAACTAAAAATACCAGTTAAAATTTAATACCTATTTCACCAATTTATCTCTTTCTTTCAACAAATAACATTTAATCTCCCTCTTCCCCTTCAAGTTAAGAACAAAACAGCCCTCAAGTAACATGAAGTTTTAAAAAACATTTTCTCAATTTTTTTAAACAAGTAAACTATTTAGAATTTCAAGGTATGGATTTAGCAATTTAAACTTTAGGACTACTTGTATTCAAATTCCTTTAAAATGATTTTTATCTTTCCTTCAATGATATTAAAACTTCGTGCCTATATTTTATTGAGGAATTAAAATTGCCATTTATTGTAGTTCCCAGAGTACTCCTCTAGCTATTTCTCCCCCCCCCTCTCTCTCTGAATATTCAAAATGGAAAAAAATATTTTAAATATCATGCTTCAGGCCTGGCAACCAGTTGTGTACATTGTTATATGAATCCTTCAGAATGGATAATGCACCTTTCCTGACGGGAAAGGAATGATTTTTCGGGTGACCATTCTTTATATCATTAACTCTTCTCTATGCAGATGTAATGTAATAGATTTTTTCTGGTAAGTTTGGCAGTTTGGGAGAATGATCATGCTGTAGTGTGTTAGACTATCTTAATAGACTATCTTATTATTGATTTTAAGTACAGCCTAATAACATTTGAAAAGATCTATACATAGATATTTTTTCTTCAAAATTTAAGGCTACATGGTATTCATTATATATGTTACTCTTTAAAATTTTTTTACCTAATTAATGATCTCAACAAAACACTATTGGTATTCCTTCTAATTTCTAAGTTTTGTAAGCACCTCTCTTTGCTGGTACATATTTCTAAAGGGAACTAAACCATTTTGAAGGTTCTTATATTAATTGAAAACTTGAATACAAATATATTTCACTTATGATATTTATGTTCCCAAAGCCAGGCTGAAGTTTGGATCCAAATTATCTAAAAAGTTGTTCACCTCTCCAGTTCCATCGCACTTGGGTAGATAAGAAAATGGATTCTGGAACCATACTGTAACACTGTGAATCCTAACTCTGCCATTTCACATGATACGTGACTATGGGCAGGCTATTTAAATTCTCTATGCCTCAATTTCTTCATCTATAAAATGTGGCTAATAAGAGTGCCCACCTCATTGGGTTGTTTGGGGGAATAAAATGAATTAATATATATTAAATGCTTAGAATAATATCTGGCATATAGTGACACAGATATGTTACTATTTCCTAGATTTCATTTGCTTTGGATTGACAAAAGGAACTGAAAAGAGATGATTTGCAACAGTATTTTTATGTCATCTTATAGGAATAAGTAAACAAAATATAGTTTGAATTTTGTTCTGAACTCTTTAACTTGAATCTAACTAAAACTTGCTTACTATATGTTGAACAATTTGCTCTTTCCCAGGAGATTTGTTTTTAATTTATATCTAAAATAATATTTTTTCTTTTTATTCTTTTAAGTATTATGATTTTTGTATTTCACTTAAGGTCGATACATATTGTATCTCCTTTGATTTGCCTTAAATGCAAAAGAAAATTATAAAATGTATTAATATTATTATTGTGATTGCTATATATATTATAGAAAGCAATTAATAGAACTAGAATCAAAGTAAATGTAATTGAATAGTACTTAGCATGTATTTTACCCTCATCTCTCAGAATTCTATATTCACTTTCAGACATGTTCATGACTGAATGTATGATCTGACAATAATCTTATATAGGTAAAAACATAATTAAAGTAGATTAATTAATGAATGTATCAACTCAGTTATTGAATAATTACTATAATCCAGGTTTCTTTCAAAAGTAATTTTTCCTGCTACTTTCTATTAGAATTTAAGATTACTGACATACTTTTAAAATAATTCATTCAACATGAATTATAAATTGTAATTTATTAAGTGAATTAAATTGAATTACAAAATATTGAAGGAAGGGAAGTCACATATGTGCCAAGATAAGTGGTACTTCATTCAATATACTCATTGTAACTAATAAACTGGTTAACTGTGTCTCAGTTAACTTACTCTATCAGGATAATCACAATAGATGCTTATTGTTCTGGAATAGATTTTATAAACAAGTCTCTTCTCTTCACCATTGACAAGGCCTGAGGCACTCTTTGCTCACCGATTAAAATATTTTAAATTAGGGCTTCTTGTTTTCCCCCAAAACCATCTGGTGAAGGAATATGATATCTGAGATACAAGGGATGAATTTCTTAAGATGCAAAGTCATTACAACATGCAGGTATCTATCTAGCTAAAGAAGCTTAAGCTTAAAGCCTTTATCTTAACAAAATTCTATGACTTTTACTCACTTGATTTTGTCTTGATATTATCCTGATAATAACCAAGTAGAATAATCCAGTCCTATAACCCTCTGAGTTTGTTTCCTTATCTGTAAAACCTCCTTTTACTTCCTTTTCAGTTCTAAGAATCTGATTCTAATACTATTTGACTTCCTCCTAAATTTAATGTGGGTTCACACTGTAAAAGGACTTATAACAAAGCAAGACACGTCTTCTTTCAACTGTATTGCTATTTGCACACAGGTGTAGGAAGATAGAAGACCTTTCCTTTGAAAAATAGTTTCCTGGGACCATGTGGTACAGAATACCTTAACAAACTTTTGCATAATTATAAATTTCTCACATACTTGAAAATAAACAGGTATATCTATGGTTAATTATAATTTCATAAGCGTTTATCTCCCTTGGTTAGATTATGCAAATGAGAAATGGGGTTCTTTGAAGTTCCACTGATTAGGGTGTAGGGAGAGTGATATACTTTCTTGCTTTCTGCTCACAATTATTCTAGCTCATGCAGTGTAATGGGATAATCTTACAAATTACGCAAATTAATGGAATAACAAAGTTTGTAAAAGTGCTACACACTTTAAAAAATAAATTACTTTTGGACACTTCCAAAATATGCCTTGTGTTGAGAATATTAATTTCTCAATAAAGACGCAGGGTGGCGCTGCAGGCTAAGATTGTGAATAAGCGCCAAAATACTCAAGTATTCCTTTGTTGCAAAACGGAATCAAAGACACACCGAAGAAGCTTTGCCAGCAGCACTGGGTTGCCAGCGAGTTTGGGCAGCAATATACTAAACGATTTTAAGATTCAAAGCAACTTTGTGAGGATTCAACCAAGCAAGGAATCGGAATTGGAAATCTCAAGCCTTTTTGTGGTTGCTGAAGGGATTGGAGCACCCAGGCTCCAACATGGAGACGCTAGGGAGAATTCAACCAAACAGGCAAGTGATGGCCTTTATTATGATGGTGTTCTTGTCTCAGGCTCACCCCAAGCCTATTCGTTATTCTGTGCTGGAAGAAACAGAGAGCGGCTCCTTTATAGCCCATCTGACCAAGGACCTGGGCCTGGGAATTGGGGAACTGGCCGCCCGGTCGGCGCGGGTGGTGTCTGACGATGACAAGCAGCGCTTGCAGCTGGACCGTCAGACTGGAAATTTGCTTTTGACAGAGAAACTAGACCGGGAAGAGCTATGTGGCCCCACTGAGCCATGTGTACTGCATTTCCAAGTGCTCCTGGAAACGCCTGTGCAATTTCTTGAAGGAGAATTATCAATCCAGGACATAAATGACCACTCCCCAGAATTCCTGACAAAGGAAATGCTCTTGAAAATCCCGGAAAATAGCCAGCCAGGGACTATTTTTCCTTTGAAACCAGCTCAGGATTTGGATGTGGGCAGCAATGGTCTTCAAAAATACACTATCAGCCCCAGTTCTCATTTTCACGTTCTTACTCGAAATCATAGTGAGGGTAAAAAGTACCCAGACTTGGTGCAGGACAAAGCGCTGGATAGAGAGGAACAGCCTGAGTTCAGCTTAACCCTCGTGGCGCTGGATGGTGGGGCTCCGCCTAGGTCTGGCACCATCACGGTGCGAATCCTGATCGTGGACGTCAACGACAATGCTCCTGAGTTTGTGCACACCCCATATGAGGTGCAGGTTCTGGAAAACAGCCCCCTAGGCTCACCAATACTGAATGTCTTCGCTAGGGATGCAGATACTGGAAACTTTGGGAGTGTTTCCTATGGTTTGTTCCAAGCATCAGATGAAATTAAACAAACTTTCTCAATAAATGAAGTCACAGGAGAAATCCGACTGACAAAGAAATTGGATTTTGAACAAATTAAATCTTACCATGTAGAAATTGAGGCTACGGATGGAGGAGGCCTTTCTGGAAAAGGAACTGTATTCATAGAGGTGGTGGATGTGAACGACAATGCTCCTGAACTGACCATATCTTCACTCACCAGCTCCATCCCAGAAAACGCTCCTGAGGCAGTTGTCTCTATCTTCCGTATTCGCGATAGAGACTCTGGAGACAATGGAAAGATGATTTGCTCTATTCCAGATAATATGCCATTCATTCTAAAACCGACTTTCAAGAATTTCTACACCCTGGTAACAGAAGGACCGTTGGACAGAGAGAGCCATGCGGAGTACAATATCACCATCACCGTCACCGACTTGGGGACCCCCAGGCTGAAAACCCAGCACAACATAACCGTGCTGGTCTCCGACGTCAACGACAATGCCCCGGCCTTCACCCAAACCTCCTACACCCTGTTCGTCCGCGAGAACAACAGCCCCGCCCTGCACATCGGCAGCGTCAGCGCCACAGACGCAGACGCGGGCGCCAACGCCCAGGTCACCTACTCGCTGCTGCCGCCACAGGACCCGCACCTGCCCCTGNGGCTTCTGGACTGCCGCTCACGCTGGCTGCTGGCTACACACGGTAGCCCATGGCAACCCACTGCCACAGGGGCTGCAGCCTACGCTGGGGTGCCAGCGACTCACCGCAGCCCAGCTCCAGGTTGAGCTGTTGTTCAGCATCTTAGCTGTAGAGGGAAGTGTCACTGGCCCTCATATGTGGGATCCGAACCGGGTCCCTCTGACGTCCCAAGCCAGCTCTTAACCATCGCGGCACTTGGCTGGCCCCCTGAATTTTTTTAAAGCTCATAAAAGGAAGTAGGAATGGATGACAAGAAGCAATAGCACTCTGGCAAAGCATCATTGGTTCAAAGGGTCTTGTCCCAGCAATTCAATTCATTACTTTATTTCTTTGGGGGTTAAGCTTTCAGTGGAAGAAGAATTCTTTTGGCTACAAAACACACCACCAATATGAGAAAATCATATGCTTTGCTAATAACCAATCAAATCAGGCAGTTTATTTGACCCTATCTTCTCCTAATGGGAAGTAGGAACTATAGGTATGGTATGAGTGGGTATGACATGGACTACTAATTTTACTCAAATATGTGTTCTACCTTTTTATGTTTTTTATTACTGATTGACCTTCAATTTTTTAGCTGGTGTGGATATCTGAGCTGTAGATTATATTTCTCAACCATTGTTGTGGCTGGAAGTGGTCTTATAACTAAGTTATGGCAAGGAAGGTGTAAGCACAAGTGTCATGCACAAGTGTAAGCACAGGAATACTTCATGAAAATGTCTTTTTGAAAAAAAAGGAAGGCACAGCCTTTTTTTCTCCTATTTGCTGGTCTGAATGGAAATGTAATGACTGCATATTAAACAGCCAACTTGGACTATGAGGTAAAGGTCATGTCCTAAAGATGGTAAAGCAACAGGATGGGACAAGACTGGGTCCCAGATAACATGGAGTGCATTTCAGCCACTAGCCTTCTGTTATGAGAGAAAAATAAATTTCTGTTTTGTGTAAGCTATTGTTATGTTTTTTTCTACAATTTCAGGCTGAAATTATATAGAACATATATATATATTCATATAGAAATCATATAGAGCATAATTCTAGCTGATATAGTAAGCTTTTAATAAAGTGATATTTAAAGTAAGCAAAAAATGAATAGACAAAATTGTGAGGTTTACATGCATATCTTAGAAATCAAGGTTTATTGAGAATAGGTAAAGCAAATAACTGAAGATATAAGAAAAATCACCTATTATTAATATCATCAGATGAGAAAACAAGTTATTGCACTTAAGAAATAAGTACAGGGCCGGCCGAGTGGTGCGATGGTTAAGAACTGGCTTGGGACGCCAGAGGGCCCCGGTTAGGATCCCACATATGAGGGCCAGTGACACTTCCCTCTACAGCTAAGATGCTGAACAACAGCTCAACCTGGAGCTGGGCTGCTGTG